CCATGTTGCCAGATAGAAAAATAGTCAACCAATTATCTTATTAGTAGTATGCCAAGAATTATTTCTCTTTTGTGTGTAACAATGGCCCACATCTGTGTGTGTGACAAATTTTCCTAAAGACCTATCCACTTTTCGTTTATTTCCCATTATTCTTGGCATATTTATCTCTCGGTTGTTCTCTAGCGCCTAATGGAATTATGTGATTTAGACTTAATTTTGTTTATTTTTCTAACTAATTGGAGAAATTTTTGTCTTTACTTAGTGCAACTCAGGCGATGCTGGAGAAACAAGTGACGGAGATGCAGGCTCAGCTGAATTCTGAACAGGTCGAACGGTAATTACTCAGCATTTTGTCGTTATTGAGTAGGTTTTCGAGACTACCAGTAAATCAGATATATGATTTGTATTCCCCATATTTCATTTGAGGTGATGCAGGACTGGTAGTTGAATTTTCCTACAATGATATTAATAAAGTTGACGTTTCCATGGAATTTCACAGAGTCTTGCTTTCCCAATAGACTGCAGCCTTGACCTCGCCTACGCCTTATTAACATCTCCATCTGGGAGTCGAACCATGACAGTGCAGTGTGTATTATCTACACGTCATTGTTCGACTCCCGCTGGGGGTGTTGATAAAACCTAGATGTCGTCGAACCTGTAGTTCCCCCTGGATGATAACAACTTTGGGGAAAGCCAAGCCGTGCGAAATTCAATGAAAACAAAAGATTTTTTAGAAGTGGGTTGTCCTCGTTGTCGCAACTTGGTCATGTTGTCAGGGCTACGTAGTAGAACGCACCTAGTCCGAAGTCGTCTGCCATAGTAATTGTCATGAGTCCCAGCATTAGCCAATGGACTTGGTACATTCTCAAACGTTTCGCCGGCATCATAGTCGGCATCATCAGTGAGTTTTGCCATTCTCCGCACCAAGCTACGACCTCGTCAAAGGGACAAGTGAAGTCAATCCCTCCACAATCGTTCTACCGAAAGCTCCTCTTTCTGTCCTGGCCTATCTATCTACTCTTTACCCTCTAATCCCACTGCCGCCCTATCACAACTTCTCACTTGTTTATATTCCACTCGTCAAAGTGTGTGCTATTTTGTGCCAAATCTAGTGTGGCCTCATCACACTTGCTATTTACCTCGACTTCTTTCCTTCGATCGGCTGATCCAACCTTCAATCCGTAGGCCTCTGTGACCTTAAAAGACCCTACCACTCGGATAAGGTTAATGAGTATCTCCACCAGGCTTCTATTCAGAAACTAAGTGAGACGAAATAAGTTGTTTACATTTTTAGACATTAAATCAAAGCTCCGGCGTGATTTGGCCAGGATCCTGTCTCCGGAAGTTTTTCAAAAACTCCAGAGCATGACGGACAGGAAATCACGTAGGATTTCTGACTTAATAACAAGACGGCATGATGATAAGTTGCGTAAGGTTGGGATTATAAGACAGCCTGAGTTAAAGCCAGTACGCCCAGTTGAAATGGCTTCCGAGGTGACAATGCCTCGAGGATAGAAAGAAAGTATTAAACTTAACATCAATTCCTCTTAATGCCGAAACCACTGTTTCCTAGAAAATGACTCCATTTTTTAATTCAACATCACAAAAGCCTTTCTAGGAGACATCTTGGTGGAGGTTATCAATATTTTCGAAAAGTTCACTACGGAGAAAAAACGGGAAATATGGATGTATTTCATTCCAAAGATCTTGAGACATCAGGAGCCTACACACTGGAACAGATTTACAGTGATAAGCAAAACCCTGAAAACGAATGATAAATTACTTCTTCAGGCGGACAAAGGAGCTACAGTGATAATGGACAAAAAACAATATACCGAGAAGATGGAACAAATTCTAGGAGACAGGACCACATATCGTATACTAAACAAGGACCCAACTATGAAGATGAATGGAATCTTAAGTGTCATGCTAAAAGATATGCATAGGAACGAGGAAATTGACGCATAGACAAGAAATTCAATCATAAAAAAGGATGCACGACCACCACAGCATAGGGATTACCGAAGATACACAAAGAAGGCGAGCCACTAAGGCTGATAGTCAACAACAAGTATGGAACAACACACAAATAGGAAATATTTATATGTTTGAAACTCAATAAATTAAATGATAGACTATCAAACACGGTGTAAGTTTCATAGGAATGTTCTCAAAAAATCAAAAACATGGCACTGGAAGAAACGACTTATTGGTAAATTTCGATGTGAAATCCATGTATACAAATATCTTTGGAGAAAATGCCCTAACGGCTTAGCTCGAAATCCTGGACCGAGAGGAGGCTATCCTGAAATCACAACGGATCGGTAGGGAGTCATTAACAAGACTAATAAACTTGACAATAAGGACAACCTATTTTGCATTCATCGGGAACATCTGTGAACAAATATTTGGACTTCCCATGGGATCGCC